GGGCTTCACCACTGAATTTTATCAAAACTTTACAGAAAAACTCTCTTCCCAGAGTATCCCATATAATTAAAGGGAGGGAATCTTTTCAAACTCATTCTAGAAACCAACATTACACTGATACCCAAACCAGACACAGACACAACAATAAAATTACAGAGCATTTTCGCTGGTGAACATAGAAGCAGATATTCCCAATAAACTACAGAAAATCGAATCTAACAGCGTGTAAAAAAGATTATATACTATGATCAAGTTACATTTATCCAGTGGGTACAAGGATGGCTCAACATGAGCCAATTGACAAACATACATCACCAAACAGAAAGGACAAAAGTCATATGATCATCTCAGTAGATTCAGAAAAAGCATTCAGTGAAATCTACTAACCTTCATGAAAAATTAGGTATAGAAAGAATATACCTCAACACAATGAGGTTCTGCATGACAAACCCACAGCCACCATCATACTGAATGGAAAAAAGCTGAAAGGGTTTCTGCTAAGATAAGGAACAAGAAAAGAATGTCCACTTACACGACTCCTATTCAACACAGTACTAAAAGTCTTAGTCTCCACAATTAGGCAACAGAAAGAAATAAAAGATGGCTGGATGTATCTTAGTGACAGAGCACTGGCCTCCTGGGATTGTACCCGGGACCACACACACACACACACACACACATGCCCCAAATGAACAAAAAGGAATGAAAGACATACAAATAGGAAAGAAGGAAGTCAAATCATCTCTGATAGCAGATGACATTATTGTATACATAGAAAAAACAAAAGACCCAAGAAACTGTCAGAACTGATAAATAAATTTAGTAAGGTTGCAGGGATACAATATTAATATACAAAAGGTAGCTTTTTGTATATGCCTATAATAATATTTCTGAGAAGGAAATCAAGAAACCAGTCCCATCTGCAATATTTAAAACAACTCAAGAACGCCTAGAAATAGAGTTAACCAAGGAAGTGATTGATTTTTATAATGAAAATTATAAAGCTCCAGTAAAATTGAAGAGGATACAAAACAAAAAACCAAAACCAAAACCAGAAAGACATCTTGTGTTTATGGATTGGAAGAACTTTCCTTTGTTAAAAGGTACACACTCAAACTGATCTACAGATTCAATGCCATTCCTATCAAAATACCAGTGACATTCTTAATAGAATTCCTAAAATTGAGAGAACCACAGAAGACCCCAAATACCCCAAGCAATTCTGAGAAAAAGGAACCAACGTTGGAGGCATTATAATACCCAACCTCAAAATACACTACAAAGCTACGGTACCTGGTGTAGAAACAGACACATAGACCGATGGAATAGACTAGAAAATCCAGAAATAAATCCAAGGATGTACAGCCAATTGTTTCTAACAAAGGAAGAAAGAACACTCATTGCAGAAAGAAAAGTTTCTTCACTGAATTGTGCTGGGAAAACTGTATATCCATATGCAAAGAAACACTGGACGTTGGTCTAGGTAAAAAAATTTTGGATATGATACCAAAAGCAGAGGCAGCAAATGCAAAAAATTGATTATTGGGATTACATTAAACTAAAAAGCTTCTGCACAGCAAAAGGAAACAATCAAGAGGGTGAAGAGATGCCAAGCACAGTGGCACACGACTGTATTCCCAGCAACTGGGAAGACTGAGAAGGAATATTTCAAGCTCCGGGCCAGCCTCAGAAACTTAGGAAGACTCTGTCTCAAAATAAAAAATTTTAAAAAAGCCTGGGGATAAAGCTTAAGTTCCCCTGGGTTTCATCCTCTGTACCAAAGGGAAATAGAGAGGAAGGGAGGGAGGAAGGGAGGGAGGGATGTATGTATGGATGAGGGGAAGAGAGAGAGCAAGAAGGGATGACTTATAGAATATGAAAAAATATTTTCAAATTCACCTAAAAAGGGATTAATTTCCAGAACACATAAGGAACTCTAATAATTCAACAGCAAAAACACAAATAATCTGATTCAAAAATGGGCAAATGACTTGAATAGATATTTATTAAAAGAAGATATATAAATGGCAGGCAAGTATTTGAAAAAAATGCTCAACATCACTAACCATTAGAGAAATGCAAATCAAAAACTCAGTCAAATATCATTTCACCCCAGTTAAAAAAATATTATCAAAAATAACAAATGCTGGCAAGGATATGGAGAAAGAGAAACTCTGATACACTGTTGGTGCGAATGCAAATAGTTCAACCACCTATGGAAGAGTATGGAGATTCCTCAAAAAATGAAAGATAGGACTCCCAAATGATCTAGCCATCCTACTTTTGGTATACATCCAAATGAATAAAATCAACACTTCAAAGAAACACTTGCACTCTCCTGTTAATTGCAGCACTATTCCCAAGATATGGAATTGGCCTAGATGTTCATCAATGTATGAATGAAGAAAATGTGGCATATATACACAATGGAACCAGCAATACAGCCATAAAAAAGGAAAGAAATTCTGCCCTTTACTGAAATACGAAACTGCAGGACATGATATTAGGCAAAATAAGTTAGGAAATATTACATATTCTCACTTATGTGGGAAAGCTAAAATGTTGATCTAAAAGAGAGAAGAGAAGAGTGGTTACTGGAGCCTGGGAAGGTAGTGGAGGAAGGGGTATCTAGAGAAATGGTTAATGGGTACAGGGATGCAGTTAAATAGGAGGAATCACCTCTGATGTTCTATAGCATCTTAGGATAACTGTCTTTGACAATAATTAATTGAATACTTCAAACCGTTATTAGACAGGATTTTGAATGTTCCCAACATAAAGAAATGATAAATATCTGAAGTGACAGAGATGTCAGTTATCCTGATCTAATCAATGCAGATTGTACACACTCAATGAAATATATGTACAATTACAATTGGAAACAAAACATATTTAAAAAAAATAAAAATAAAATTAGGGAATAGTGATGTATTTCGGTGATAGAGTACTTATCTTGCAGTGCAAGGCTCTGGGTTTGAACCCCAGCACTAAAATCAATCAATTGATCAATCAATAAATAAAATGTAAAATGAAGTGAGTAAAGGTGTAACTGTTCTGTGCCTGGCTTACCTCAAATACCACACAAACTATTGTTATCTGGGTGCAGTAGCACATACCTTCAGTGCTAACTATTTGGGAGCCTAAGGCAAGGGGATCCCTTGAGTCTGAGAGTTCAAGACTAGGTTAAGCAACATAGTAAGACCCCATCTTCAGAACAGAAATAAAACTATTTTTTCCCTTATGAACATGGTTGCAAATATCCTTTCCTTTGTTTTGTCTTTTAGCAATTCATGTTGAAAGAATTATCTCTGAATGGACAGTTTTCACTTACAATCTTTGTAACATTGTGGTTCACTAATAATCTTTTCAACATTTGTGGATTAACAGTTATGTGGTCACAGGAGTTGAAGTGTCTGCTTTTCCTTGACCTAGATAGAGGAGCTTGAAGCACAAACTAAATCATGTCCTTCTCTTTAGAAATCAATCAGTTTAATGAGAAAGTAAAATACTTGGTAAGTGCTCAATAAATTCCACCTGTTATAACTATATTTCAGTGATGAAAGTCCCTTGCAAAGATTTCTGTATCCATAAATTTAAAAATACATGCTATTTAGTAGATCAAACAATGTGAATGTACTTAATATCACTAAACTTTATACTTAAAAATGGTAAGTTTTGTTATGCAATTTTACTATAGTAAAAAGTAAAATCATAGTAATTAGAACATACAATAAAAACTTACTTATTGATTTTTTGATTGATAAATTAGAACAAGTTACCAGAAATTCCAAATCCAGCCAAATTTATAAATCAGCAGTGATGTATGAATCTGTGTTTAGTGCTCATTAAATAAGTATTCTACTTAAAATTCATTTTTACATATACAAGAACCTAGGGTTTCAAAATTAGTGAATCGTTTTCTACTTACACCTTTATTTCTCACATGTAGGTCACCAAAGATTTACTAACAGAAAGGAGTTAAAAGAACAAATACTCTTTACTACCACAGAGCTCTGGAATAAGATGAGAAATCAGGTGAACCAGTGTTTGAGATATTTATTCATGAGACCCTAACATATCCTATGAAACACCATTACTTAAAAGTTAACACAAACAGGATAGTTATCAAGGTAGACCTTCTCTCCAAATAAGGCAGTGACAGGCCAGGATCTATGATCTAAGCCACAGTCTATATTTAGACATTGGGAGGCCTGTAATACTACTAGCTCTGGGCAGCTGAATGAACCTGAAGATTAATGGAGTTTAATGGAGTGGAGAAGTAGATGCTCTATTTAAAAAATCTTCAGAGAGTGCGAGTGTTCTCTTTCTCTAGAAGAAACACTAGAAGGAATGTATTTGATATCAGAGGCGATTAATAGAAGAGTAAATGGCTTCTAGATTGCAATGATCATGTTTCATATATCAACAATTAAAAAGCTTTAAGGAATAATGGAAAGTAAAACAAAGCTTTACAAAAGTTCTTGTGGCCAGTGATACAGCACTTATCAAAGCTGACAAGTTTATTTATAGTCTAGTTTGATTTCTAGAAGATTAAATTCAGAAAATAGATGAAGCTGGGGTTACATTTTCTGACACTGACATTCTGCTCATAATTTGCCATCATTAGCAATAATTTGAACTTCATCAATATTAAAATGATTGCTATATCACACTCCTTCCCTTTCTGCTAATTGACATTTCATATTATGAATTTTTTTAAATGCCCTTTTTAGAGTATATAAAACTTATCCCCAGAATTTTAAATAGTTATTTGGATTTTTTTTGCAAGTTAGGGTTTCATCAGAAGGCATATTCACCTGATTTCTTCAAAATTCTTCTTCAAAAACAGGCTAAAATGCCCCAAATCAATGGGACTTCTCCAGTATAAACGGGTTGACTTTTCAGATAAACATATGCTTCCTATGTCCCAGTAATTTCACAAAGTAGTAAGCAAAAAAATGGAATATGAAGATATTAACAGCAAAACCCCACTAACTTACTGAAAGAAGTTTGGCCCGAACACAGTAGCGAGATTGTGAACATTCATGCGATTCTGCAGGTGATGCTTGGCCACTTTTGTCAAGAACTGGCAGAGGTACTTGAGGAGGCAGTAGTGGGTGTCTGGAAGCTCTCTTATTAAATCTCGTAAACTATGTTCCTGAGCATCACATCTGCCATCTGGAAAAAAAAAAATAAAAAAATGTTCTCAAGCATATTTCACAGCAACAAAAGCATACAGATATAATAAATCCAAACCTTTTATTCAGAAAAAAATTCCCTAGAGACTAATATAGGCCTTGAGCATTTGATGTTTTTAAAGTTTTTAAAATTAAAAAAAAATTTTTTTGTACTGCTGGAGTAATCTTGTGTGTTGTGCATGCTTGGTAAGCACTCTACCATGGAGCAAGACACCCCAGCTCTTTATTTATTTTTTTTCCATGTTAAAGAATTACTAATTTATTCAAGAAATTCTGAACGTCACAAGTTTTACTTAGTGTATAAAATGGATTTGTATTTCAATTTTTTGTTTTTTCCCCAATATGAAAATATTGGTTAGATTTTTATTCCATAGTAAAATTTTACAGTTGATAAATGTCTTTGAGTTTGTACAAAACAAGAATTAGATCTTGCTGGATTGTCACAAGGGACACTAAACTTAATGATCAGCTACTGTGATGAAAACTGAAGGAAACATAATTTTTATGTAGTTTTGTAATCTTGACAATTTTCCTCCTTGAACAAACTGGAGTCAGTCTTCTCTGAGCTCTTTTTCAACTAAACCCACATTGGACACGTCCTTAAGAACCTTAGCAAGAATCTCTCATCCTAAATATTCGATCACCCTTGATATCCGAGCAACTAACTCATCTCCCACCATCCTCAGATGGTGTGTGACTATGTTGGTGCCTTCAACAAGACTCTAATTAGGCAGGTTTAACCACAATCACCTCTTTCCCCAGATGCTTCCTCTTAGTGATTTTCTATTCACCAACTGTCCTCACTCCACATTTTCTACTTGGCTATAAAATTCCCACTTTTCACTGTCACATTCCAAGTTGATTCCAATTTTCCCTTCTGCAAAACCCCAGTGCAGTAGTAGTACTGAATAAAGTCTGTCACCATTCTCTAAGAAGTATGAGAATGGATGACTCTTTAATATTTAATGTGCCATAAATACTAGTCCCCTTTATGGGAGATTTCACCTTTTGTGACTGCAAATACCACAATTGTGATCTGAAAATATTAAATAAAAATTACAGAAATAATTAATAAGTTCTAAAGAACTTTGATTATACTGTATTATTATGACACTTTATTGTTAATGTTGTTAATCTCTTACTGTGCCTAATTTATAAATTATATTGCATCACAGGTGTTTATGGATAGAAAAAACAGTACTGTGACTGGTACCATTTGTGGTTTCAGGCATCCTCTGGGGGTCTTGGAACATATCCCCCGTGGCAAAAAAAGGGGACTACTACCATTCAGAATTCAATATGCAACTCTCATACAAAAGTCTAATAATCTTGCATCAAACCAAAGTGTCTGATGATGTGTCAAGAGTCACAGGCGTGCAGATGAGAAGTTTCCCTTAATTTTGGCGATTTGTTTCGCCAGTACTTATATACAGTAAAGTTGCTAACGTTAAAACCATGATGTTCTGGTTTCTGTCAGAGGGAAATACAAATCTTTTATAACAAAGAGTTCAGGGGGATAATCCAAATCTACCCCTTTGATAGGCATCTAAAAGAACAAAAGTTTAATTCATATAAATTAATACACAGATTGAATTCTGTAGACTGGTCAGTTTTAGCCAATCAAGTGACTATAAAACTGAACATCGAGGCAGGCAAACAGATCCAAAGAAAGATTAGCTACAAAACATGTGACTAACATAATGCCACTGACAAAGTGAAAACACACAGAGTGTCACATGCAGAAAGGGATAGTGAATGGCTGCACAGGATCTGGGGGCAAGCTCGGGAACTTCCTGCATGAGGACCTTGGTTCTGCTACCTACTACCTACTACCTACTACTGAGATGACCAAGGTGGTTCTGCTTGTGACGATGTTAATCCCCACTGCACTATGTTTTTAAGTAGCAGGGATATATGAGAAATTGAAATATTTGGGACTGGGTTGTAGTAGCTGAGTGGTAGATCACTTGCCTTGCATGCATGAAGCACTGGGTTCAAATCTCAGCACCCCAGAAAAATAAAGATATTGTGTTCATCTACAACTAAAAAAAAAATTTTAAAAAGAAATGAAAATAATTAACTTTGGAGTAATTAAAAACTAACTGATGACACCCTTTTCTCATATGTTTGTATTATAAAATTAAACAAATATGAACCTATTTTACCCTTTCTCTCTTTTTTTTTTTAAATGGGGACTAATTCAAAATTAGTCTAGTTCGTTTCTCTGTTTAAAACTGGTCCAAGTCTCAGCATTTAAGAAGACAAACAACAGGGTTCCAGCCTCTGGCTTTGAGATGAAACCTCAAACCCTAAGACAGGCAGTGTGTGAAGACACCGGATCAAATAGAACAATATTCAAAATAGTGACGAACTTATGATAATAACATCTTTGAAAAAGAAGCAGCACTTTTATTATTTACTTTCGATTTCTTAAGTATAATAAATTTACCAGGAAATAAATTTGACAAGTAATGGGAAGGGAAACATATATTTATATGCTTAACAAAATAACACATGGCAGGAATACAAGAATCATTAAATATGTTCTCAAAAGGCAAAAGTAACTGATAAAGAATTACCTTATAACTATTTCCTTCTCCCCCAAAGCATTTCCATTTTCTATGATGGAAGACAGATTCATGGATTCCCTTGCTAGGCAAGGGTGTGAGCATCCTCTACAGTAGCAGCTTTGACAGCAGCACTTTCACACTTAAACCTTAAATATTTCAAGTAGTCCCAATCCTTGTTCAAATATATTGACAGTAAAGACCTTAATTTATTAGCATGACATCTCTCCTCACCTCTTTTCATACTAATTATGTGCTACCATACTGAGAATCTATAATTTGTTCTGTTTCCAGAAATACCTGGTAAATAACACCATTACAGCCAGCCTGCCAGAGTCCTACAGACCAGATTTCCTATATCTGAGAACAACAGTTGCTCAGCATCTTCAGGGGAGGCTCGTGGAATGCTTAGCGTAGCAGGAGTGAAGCCATAACGGTATAAATGTGACTATTAAGAAGAAGCCTTCTGCTGTGTGCAAGAAACAAAATTCATAATACGTGTTGAGCATTCCTTATCCAAAATGCTTTGGACCAGAAGTCTTCTTTATTTCAGATTTTTAAATATTTGCATAACACAAGACGATATTTTGAAAATGGGACCCAAGTCTAAGCACTCCTCATACATATAGCCTGAAGGTAATTTCACACAATATTTTTAGTACACTTGCATTTTGACACAAGAGGTCACATGTGGAATTTTCTACTGTGGTATCACATAGGTACTCAAAAAAAATTTGGGTTTTGGACCATTTCAGATTTTGGATTAAGAATATTCAACCTGCTGGGTGAGGTAGTGCACACCTGTAATCCCAGCTGCTTGGGAGGCTGAGGCAGGAGGATCATGAGTTCAAAAGCCAGCCTCAGCAATGTGGAGGCACTAAGCAATTCAGTGAGACCCTGTCTCTAAATAAAATATGAAATAGGGCTAGGGGATGTGGCTCAGTGATTGAGTGCCCCTAGGTTCAATCCCCAGTACAAAAATAAAATAAAAGAAAATAATGTTAAACCTATAATTGCTATTGCATGTGTTGTTTTTTGAATTGCTCATATTTAAACGTTGCTTCATTTATTCATATTCTTGTATTCATATTGGTAAATACAATGTCTCACATTATAAAAAGAGTTAGTAATGCTTTTATTTTTATGTACCTTTACCCATAATATACATTTATTGTACATTATAGGTGATATTTATCTTTCCGTGTCTGACATTCTCTAATAGCAAGGATGTAGCACTGCACAAAGCAAAATCCATGCATTTATGAAACTTATTCTAATTGATGTGGAAATAGACAATCAAATAAATTTAAAATATATATGCAAAGTGATGACTTAAGTGCTATGAAGAAACACACCGCAGAATAAAGGGAGTAAAGCAGAGTGATGAGGGAAGGGGAGATGTTACTTCATTCACCATGGTTAGGGACTCCCTACTAATATCAGGACACTTAAGCAAAGTTCATGGAAATGGGAAAGTATATTCTCCGCAGAGGAAGTGCCAAGGCCATGAGGTGGAAGTCTTAGACCTGGGGCCAAGCAGCAGTGGATGGGGAGACTAATGGGGAATGAGATCAGGAGACAATGAGATGAAGGGCAGATCACTAGTCTGATTAGGAGCCATTGTCCTTTTTTTTCCCCCCTGAGTAAGAGTTTTGGGATATGAAGAGACATCATCTGAGGTAAAGAACCACTTCAACTGCTGTGCTGCGTCTAGACTGGAGGACCTTGTTCTGAAGCCGGGAAACTAGTGAAGGAAGGATAGTCAGTTCAGAGAAGAAAGGTTGGTGCCCGGACAGCCCGATCATGTGAGATGTAAGATGAGGGTGAATTCTGGATATAGTTGGAATGTATCCAGTTTATTATATGAAAAATGCTTGCTTTATATGTGAAAAATACATGTATAAAATAGTCAATTATTCTGCAAATGTTTATGGAGTGACTAACTCTGTGCCAGGTGTCATTCTAAACATTTTGGATACATCCGTAAACAAAACTGAGATCTTTATCCTCCGGGAACTTGCCAACTACGATTTTAAATAAGATTGTTAGAAAGGTATGATTGAGAATGCATTGAATTATGTAAAGTTAAAAATCCACAAACTGGCATATGCAAGCTCTCTCAGAGTCAGAAGTTGAGTTTGAACCATCTTTTAAATGCCTTTAATGCTTTGCATATAAAAAGTGATGGTCAACAGTTGAGTAGAGGAAGGCCAATAAGAGGAGGGAAGAGGAAAGGAAAATGGGGAGGACCAGGGAGTAAAACAGAGTCAATCAAATTCCATTCATTTAATTTAATGGGAATCTTAATTCATTTTTGACAAACCGTAGCTGTTTAAATTCTGGGAGGTTTGCGAGGGGAGACGTTTTAATAAAAGCCTACAAGAATGTGCACAAAATGTTTTGCATGAGAGTA